CGACGAGAAGATGGAGAAGTTGTACACATTGCTTAAAAATGCAAGGGAAATGAGGAAAAACATGATCAGCTCCATGGAGAAGAAGAGGCAGGAAGAAGAAAGAGCGAGGGTTCGTAGATTCCCTTCGTTTCAACCCGAGGATTTCATTTTCATGCATGAAGCAGAGACCAACAACAATGAAAATGCAGCTGATGCAAGCTCTTCCGCATCCAACAAGTATGCCTCTAAGGAAAAGCAAGAGAAATCTGAGACTAACATCTGTTTTAGACTTGAATCTTTCCCTGTAGTGACAGAGGACTATTTTATCCTTGTATAAGCAACAAAGAATGTTAGTAACTACGTAACCAATAAAATGTGGCACTGGATTCTAGTTTTCTTAAAGAGGAAAATCTTCAGTTCTTATCAAGTATTAGACAAGTGTATGCTAAATATGTGCATTGATAAAAAGATCAGTAAATAAAATAACCAGAGCACATAGAGAATTCTCATCAGTGGCTGAACAAGCTCCCATGGTTTGTGAGAATTGCTCCATTTTTCCAACGCTCAAACGATCTTATTGAAGGCTGTTCGGTTGATTGCTACGATGAGAACATTCTGCTTAGCAGTTTACTGAAAATCTCACCAATAATCTTTACAGGAACACTCCCCGTTCCTGAAGTGATGGAATCTGTTTGTGTCTCTTAGAATGATCTCCCTCTTTTTCACCTTAGAGATTATTTTGATCGCTGCGTGGCAATCCCTACAAACTCTAAGATTTTTTATTACTCGAATGGGTTCTCCTTCAGGTAACTTCAACAGACCGTAAGCCACTGCGAGTCTCTCGCTATGGTATCTCAGGTTATCGGCTTTCTCTTCCTCATCTATATCATGCAATGCATTGCTGTAATCAGGATTATACCCGGCTTCTCCCATTAACCCATCCAGTTCCTCCAATATCTTCTCGATTGATTCTTGCTCGGGATGGCTACTAATACCCCCACGAGTAAACGCGTGAACCTTCTTCCCAAATTCAATCCAGCTACAACCTGGTGACTTTCTTACCATCCTTGTTTTCATAACTTTTCTCAGCTCTGCAGCATCACCCCACCTACCTTGAGATGCATAAATGTTGGACAGCAAGACGTAAGTCCCAGAATTCTCCGGTTCAATCTCTATGACTTTCTTTGCAGCAAATTCTGCCAAATCCAGCTGCGAGTGAGTTTTACACGCTCCCAATAGAGAACCCCAAACTGCAGCATCCGGTTCCACGGTCATATTTTCAATCAGTTTCATTGCCTCATCAAACCGTCCTGCTCGCCCAAACATATCTACCATGCAAGCATAATGCGCGGTTATTGGCCTAACACCAAAAACTGGTTCCATAGATTCAAAGATCTTAATCCCTTCCTCAACCATCCCAGCGTAGCTACATGCTGTGAGAGTTGCAACGAAGGTCACTTCATTAGGCTTAGTACTATTAGACAAAGGCATCTCACAGAAAACCTTTACAGCTTCCTCTCCTAGACCGTGCGAGGCATAACCAGATATGATTGCATTCCACATGATAATATCCTTTGAAGGAAACCTGTCAAAGATTAGCTTTGATTTCACAAGCTCGCCGCATTTAATGTACATAGTCATCAAAACCGACGCAACAAACACATCATCAACAAATTGACATCTCACCAACTGAGTGTGGATCTGTCTACCATGGTGGAGGCTTGCTAAGCTGGCGCAGGCCGAAAGAACGCTGATCAATGTCGAAAAAGTCGGTCTGACTCCCTGTTTCTGCATCAGAGCAAATAAATGAAGAGCCTCCAATTCAAAACCGTTTCTTTCGTACATCTGGATCATCACTCTCCAAGTTGCATCATCTCTCTCTTTCATTGAATCAAAAACCTTCCTTGCTTTAGCTATCTCTCCTTTCTTTCCAAACCCAACAATCATATCATTACATGAAAGAACCGACTTCATCGGCATAGCTTCAAAAATTTCTTCAGCGTCCTCAATTCGTCCATTCAGTGTATATCCCACAAGCATGGAAGTCCATGAAACTTCAGTTTTCTCTGGCATCTCATCAAAAAGCTTCCTAGCATCGTCAACTCGATTATTCTGCCTGTATCCTGTGAGCATTGTAGTCCAAGTAATCACATTTCTATCAGACATCTCATCAAAAATCTCTCTTGCCTCATCAACTCTTCCTTCTCTGCACAAACCAAGAACCATACTAGTCTTTGCGATATTATCTTTCACAGGCATCATATCGAACAGCTTACGAGCATCATCTATTCGCCCATCTTTAATAAACCCATGAAGCATCACAGTCCAAGAAACCTCATTCTTCTCAGGCATTTTCCAAAACAACGTCTCAGCCACATCCACCTTACCATTCTGCACATACCCTTTAACCATCGCAGTCCATGAGACAACATTCTTCTCAGGCATTTCATCGAACACTTTCCTAGCTTCTTCTATCTCCCCGTTCTTCAAGTACCCGGTAACCAACCCGTTCCAAGAGATAATGTTTCTCTCAGGCATTTCGTCGAACAGAAGCTGTGCATCACGAATCATGCGGTTTGCAAAATACCCAGCTACCATAGAGTTCCAGGAAGAGACTGATTTATATTTATATGATTCGAAAAGCCTCCGGGCTTCATGAACATGCCCTGTACGGGAGAGATGAGTGATTTTAGCATTTGCACTGTGAGTGATGGTAGAGGAATACGTTCGACGTATGAGTAACTGAGTCTTCATTCTCGGAATCTCTTAAAATCCAACCGACCAATGAGAATCGAGAAACATAACTGTTAGCATTTAGCGATCATCCAAAATTATAGCAAGAATATTTTGAAAATTTTATTTAGTACTAATTTAATTATTTTTGGTTAATGATTTGACTTTTCCCGGCTTTGTTTGTCTTCTATTGATAATTGATAGCTAGAGAAATCTTTGTATTATTTTTTTTTGTTTTGGGCATAATCAATGGTAATTTTTAAATTGGGGTTTTTAATGATTTTTTTATTATAAATAGTTTTAGGGTTTTAAATCTCTCATATTTTAGAGTTCTTAGTCTCTAAAATTAGAACATTTTTATTGGGATTCTTAAGTTTTTTGTATAATTTAATTGTTTTTAATTTTTTAGAAATCTATTAAAAATCACTTAAAACCTACCATTGATTATGCTCTAACAACATAATTAAATGAAATTTTGTAGATGCAACCATCATTACGTATGGGGTTGATGGGTTCATCCTCTACCACTATCACCATCATTACCATGGCGTTCAACAACAATCATTGGAAACTCTTTATTACGCACTGTATTTCTCCAAACTTTTCAAATTCAAAAGCTACTTTCTTCGAGCATTTGCGATTGCGGGCGGTTGCAGTTGGATAATTACAAAAATAAAAATTGATTTTTCTTTTTATCATAAAAGAAAAAAAATTACTTAAAAATCAAAATAAATATAATAAATTAAAATTTGATATTTTAGTAATTACGAAATATATCAATAATTTGAAACTTTCTAATTAAAACTTAATAACCTATCATAATTTTATATTTATAAAATCTTCAAATCGTAATTTTTTCGATAAATTGTTCTTGTTCAATGATTAATTAATAAATCTAACAAGCTAAAATGTTCAAAATCACATTAATCTCTC